ATATATACTTACGATTTCTATTATTTAGTATTTGGTTAATTTCTACCTATCATGTGTTCCTTTTCTCTAAACATACCCTAAACAACATATTGTCCAGTTTTACTTGTTTTTGAACTTTATAAAAATATCTATCTTTATAACTTATTTTTACTCAGATGATTTGTGAAATTTATGTATTCATTTTCCTTGCTTTAGAGAGTTGTATTGTGTGGATATACCACAAATTTATAAACCCAAGTAAACATTTGGGTTGTTTTTCATTTTTTCTTACTATGAACATAGTGCTATGGGCAAGAACTCAGTATGAGAGGCTTTTAGACATTATGGCCACTACTCATAGTGCAAGAAATGGAATTGGTGTCTTCAACCAGCACATGTACTCAGTTATATAAAACAAAAATTTCTCAGAATAATCGAACAATATCTACCCTGTTGAACTCTTTCAAGGATACTAATTATGACTTTGAACAAATGGATTACAAAACTCAAGTAGTGAGCCAAGGTTTGAAAAACACTGTAGGAATGGATTGTGAGTGTGCAGCTTACAAGGTAATACCCAATTGTTTTCGGAGAGATTTAATATTGTACATACCCACTAGCAGCATGTAGGATATTTTTGTTTATTTGGCTTTTATTTGTTTTCTAATCTGTCCTCACCAATCCCTGGTATTATCAAGTTAATTTTTCTAATTTAGCAAGTGCAAAGATCAGTTAGGTTTTAGCTGACATTTTTAAAAATAGTAAATAATCATTAGTGAAATAAAAATCAAAACTATAGTGAGATATGACCACTACATATTAGTATGGCAGAAAAGAATAAGTGTTGGTGGGCATTATGGTTTGTGTCTGGATGTCTCCGCAAAGCCTCATGCAGTCATGGGGTCAGGTTCTAGAGTTTGTGATTGATTCATGGTCCGGTTTTGGGATTATGGGTGTGAGTGCTACACCCATCCTGGGGGGGTGGGTAGCCTGCATATAATGGAAGGGAGGGAAAGAGGCTTGCTCTTCCAGCTCCTCCCTTTTTGCTCTTGTTGTTTTGCTCCTTTGCCACACCACCCTACCTTTGGGCCAGCTGATTATGGACTGAAACCCCACAACTGTGAGCCAGATAAACCTTTCCTTCTTTTTTTTTTTTTTTTTTTTTTTTTTTTTTTTTTTTTTCTCTGGTACTGGGAACCGAACTCACGACCTTGCGCTTGCCAGGCAGGCGCTTTGCCACTGAGCTAAATCCCCAGCCCCAAACCTTTCCTTCTTTACCTGTGGGTGTTCGGTATTTCCTCTCTTAATTTTGGGTATCAAGTATTTTGTCTCTGCAACAAGAGAAAAAGTAACTAAGACAAAATTGGTACCAGTTGAGTGGGGTCCTTGTTGTGTTGTTGCCTGGCCATGTGGCTTAAAAGCCTTTGGAATTAATTTGGAAAAGTTTTGAGAGACTGGCCAAAGAGGTAGCCCCTGTATGCTGTAAACTACATTGGAGACTCTGGTTGGAGCCTGGAAGATCAGAGTACTGACGTAAATGCTACCAGTTAAGATGAAGCTCAGGAGGCTTCTAATGAGAAGGACTGCATTTGGCTGCTGGATCCCAGGTAATATGTTGTACTTTGGCAGAAAGTTGGTCCTCATTTTGCTTGTGTTTAGAGATTTTACCTGGGTGGCAGAAAGATTTCAATGTAGTCTACTGTTGAGATAGTGGCATAGTTACTCTTGAGAGCTTTTGGCCAGATCTATGTTTGAAATTAAGAGTAAAGAGCCAGCAAGGTGATTTGACGCATTTGGCAGAGGGATGGCTACATGGAGCTTTGGGTCACAAGGATGAAATAAAGGAGAATGTTGTTGTTAAGAACAGGACAATAGGAAAATAAACTAAAGACTTTCACCTGACAATAAGGGTATATTTGAAGTGCAGGAGATCCCTGTTTTTTAGTCTTGCCATGCCTTGTTAAAAGTTAATGGGAAGCAAGGACTGTGATTGTAACAGTTCTTTTAATATGATTTTAATGTCATTTTCAGATATATGTTTGTAATCAGGTTATTAGTCAAAATACTGTGGTTTTAACCTTGAATTTTGGCCACCCTTTGAATATTTTGCTTTTGGTGCAGAAATAAGTGCAATAAGAATTGTATATACGTAATTGTTATATTACTATAAATCTGAATAGACCAAAACATGTTAACTTTTCACAAATCTGCCTCTACAGACTATGGCTTAAGGAAATGTGTATGGTATCAAGTTGACCAGGGGTGGATTGTGGTACACTGACAACTGGTAGTCAACTTGTTACACCCAGCTGAACTGAATCAGTGTGGTGCTGGGTGTGGGGGTGCCCACCGAGGATTGTTGCCGGCAGCATAACAGACCGAACTGGAGAGGAAGAACTTTAAAAGCTGTTGAGAGCTATTGGCTTTCTAGGTGCTATTAGTTCTCCTGGAGGAGCTTGTCATGCTGGCTTTCCTGATACGAACTTGGCTGTTGTCGTCATTGTAGGAGCTCAGGACCTTATTGTTGCTGCTAATGGCTACAGTTCACTTTGGGGGAGCTCTAGTCTTTGAGCATCACTTTCTGGCTCCAGAGGGGAAGATGGTGCACTGTTCAATGTCCTGGAGAAGCTTGTTGTGCTGACTTTCCTGATATGGACTTAGCTATTCACATTGTGGGATGAGCTCGGGACCTCTTTGTCACTGAGGATGGCTGTGGTACCTTTCAGGAGAACTCTGGTTCTTATTTTGAGCATCGCTTCCTGGCTCCAGTGCAGATCCCTCAGCCTACTAGCACAGATCCTTCATCCCACTGGCACAGACTTTCCAGCTTCTGCCACTGACCTTTGGGCCTTCCCAGTGCAGATCCATGAACAGATATGCATGAGACCTTGTTGTGTCCTCTTGGCCTCCAGTTGGGTTCTTAGGGGGCATTGTTATGGGCTCTAAGTCTTTAGATGGACTCAGGCAGGAGGACATTGCTGTGGGATCCAGCACCTTAGCTGGATTCTTTTGGTCTTTAGTGTGTGGATGGATTTCCTGCACTCTTTTGTACTAAACTCTTTGGGTGACCACTGTAAAATAATTCTATGAATTATATGTCCTGTATTGTATTTTTCCCCGTGTATA